CACTAAATGACACCACAGGCAAACAAGCTAGACTATGGCAAATTCTATAGTACAAATGCGGTAGATTTTTTTGAGAGAGAAAGAGTGTGTGAGGTGGAGGTGGGGCAGTGGGAGAGGGAGAAAGAGAACCCTCAAGCAGACTCCCGGCTCTGCACAGAACCAGACAGAGGGCTGGATCCTAGGACCCAGAGATCATGACCCGAGCCAAAATCAAGAGTTGGATATTTAACCGACTGAGCCAATCCAGCTGTCCCCAAATTTGACAGATTTTCCAAAAACGACTGGAAAGACATCTCCTATCCTGCATATTTTTCTGCAAGTGTAAAATTGCCACTACTCCATCAAACAATGGAGCCCTTCCCTGCCCCATCCAATGGAGGGAGGGCCTGGAACTATTTTGACCAATCAACACCAGCAAAATAAAGAATAAAGTTTTGCCAGTTGCAGATGTAACCATGAAGTGGCCTTGCATGTTCCACTCTTAACTCTGGGTAGTCAGTTTCCGTGTGCCAAGTACAAATAGCTCAAGATCGCCATGCTACAAGAAGCCCGACCCACACTGAAAGGCTCTGAAGGAGATGCCATGTGGTGAAAGAGAAGTCGGACAAACAGACACACCAAGGAACATGAAGGTACTAGGTATGCGAGACATGGGTGTGAGTAAAGAAGCCATCCTGGACAATTAGCCCAGTGAACCCTTCAGGTGACACTAGCTGCAACCGCAGGAGAGACATCAGCAAGAAGTAGCCACCTGAACCCTGCCGACCCAACGAAACATGAGATGGTAATAAATTATTGTTTCACAAAGTTTTCAGGTGGCCTGTTATATCTCCAAAGATAAACTGAAAAACAACCTGGTTGCCTTCAACAAATAAATTACTAGGAAAACCAAACAGAATGACTGGGGGGGGGGGGGGGGGGGGGGAGGAGAAAACCTACAAACTGAAAGTTTATAAAAGATTTAAGATAATAATATTTGAAATATAACTGGATTCTGATTTCACCAAATAAACTATAAAGTTTATTATATTTATGACACATTAGTAAATTCAAATATTGACTGAAGAGTTGATGATATTAAAGAATTTTATTAACACCTTTTAGGCTGATAGTGGTGCTGTGGTCATGCTTTTAAAAACAGATCTTAGGGCACCCGGGTGTCTCCGTTTGTTGAGCAGATGACTCTTGAATTCAGCTTAGGTCATGATCACAGTGTCCTGAGATCCAGTACCTTGTTGGCCTCTCCACTCAGCTCATCTGGGAGTCTGTGTGAGGATTCTTTCTCTCCCTCTCTCCAACCCCTCCCCCGATACTCTTTTGCATGCTCTCTCTCTCTAAAATAAATAAATTTTAAAAACCCAGAACTTACCTTTAGAAACACAAACTCAAAAGTTTACAAATAATATGGAACACTGTCTACACTTACTTCAGAGTTCTAAGAAGCGGATAATATGATGGGGATATAAAGGACACAAGACTTGACAGAAGTCAATAATTGTTAGAGTTGGGTGATAAGTATCTGGAGCTATGCCATCTATCTACTTTTATATATGTTTAAAACTTTCCATAACAAAATATTTTTACAGGGATAAATAAAAGTAAAGTGTTCCTGGGCTGGTTGGACTCTCTTATACATCCCAGAAGCAAATAAAATCTTCTTTGGAAGGCTTTAAAGCATTGGCATAAGAAGATTAGCACATAACTTTTTCTCTTAAAAAAAAAAAAAAAGGACATGAGGAAGACAGACACCAGAAATAAGAGTCAGCCAAGAAAACAAAGTTCAAAATCAAACCAGCAAAGACAGCAAATGTTTAAAATAATAGATAAAAGAGTATATGGAAAAATAATAAAGGGGCACCTGGATGGCTCAGTCAGTTAAGTGTCTGACTCTTGATTTCAGCTCAGGTCATGACCTCAGGGTCCTGGGATCAAGCCCCATGTCAGCCTCCCCATTTATCAGGGAGTCTGCTTGTCTCCCTCTCCCCCTGCTCACTCTCTCTGTCTCTTTTTCCTTCAAATACATAAATAAGTCTTCAAAAAGAGAAAGCAAAAGAAAAAGAAGAAAGAATTCAGGAATATCAAAACTGAACAGGGAGATTTGGAAAAGAACAAAATAGAACTTGTAATTATAAAAAAGTATAATTCTTGAAAGGAAAAATTCAGTGGCTGGTTTATGACAGAATAGAACCAACAGAATAAAGAGTTTAATAAAGAGAAAGATCTGAAGAAATTACCCAAAATATAACACAGAGACCAAAAGGCAGGAAATGTAAAACAAAAACAAAAATAAAAACCCCAAAACCAAAAACAGATTAACAGAAGTAGAGCACAAGATGCGGATATACAATAAAATTTCTACTCAGAATTCCAGGATAAAGTATTAGAGCTTGAAAGAGTCAGACACAATATTCCACAACTGATAAAAGACAAGAAGATTCAATAATCTAATAATTAATATAAGACTGGAAACCCAATTATCCAACACATAATAAAAAGAAATCTATGCTAATACAAGTTATAGTGAAACTCCAGAATAAAGACACAAGAGAAGAATGATAAAAGCATCCAAAAGACAAGAATAATTACTTACAAAGGAATGAAAATTATACTGATAGTTCACTTTTATGAAAGTCAGAAATAATGGAAAATAGCTTCTACATGCTGAAAAAAAGAGCTTTCAACCTATAGTTATATATCCAGAGAAACTATCTTTCAAGAATGAGGGTGAAACAAAAGCATTTTCAGTCAAACAGAAATGAAGAGTTTACCACCCAAACAAAGATCTCTACAGAAAAAATTTCACAAGTCTAGTAAGAACTATTTAAAGGAAATAATTCAGTCTAAAGAAAAATATTTGAAAATGGAAGGTCTGAAATGAAAAAAAAAAAAAAAAGAGAGAGAGAGAGAGTGAAAATGAGCAAAGAAAATGGTAAACCTGTATATAATTCTAAAAACACTGACCATGTCTAACTGTATTTTTAAATCCAGATAGCAATCAAATCTGGTAATAACAACATATAACTCAGGAAGGAATATCAACATTAAAGCATTCTTTAGCCATTAGTGTATTTCAGCAGAAAGATAAACATGCTGACTAGCTTCAGAACTTAAAAATGCATATTAAAATATACAACATAATCACTAAGAGAAAAGATAAAATGTTTAACTTCCAAACTAACAGAAAACAAGTTAGATTGAAGACAATAAAAAAATAAAACTGTATCAACCTAAAAGAGGGCAAGAAAGGAGAATAAAAGAGAAAGAATACAGAGAAAGTTAGGCAGGTAGAAAGCAAAAATAATATGGTAAAAATGAATCCAAATCTTTTAGTTGTCACTATCCATTTAAACAGATTAAATGTTTTAGTCAAGAGAAAAGACTGCAAAAATGGATCCTATGTGTTATTTCCAAGGAGACATGGGACACAATGCATACTGAAAGTAAAAGAACAGAAAAATACATATCAGATAAGTGAAAATTAAGTTACCCTAGCTTTATTAGAACAAAGTAAAATAAGCTTTAAGACAAAAAGCATTACTAGAAACAAAGAGAGTGACATAAAAAGTCCAAATCACTGAAAAGATAAACTACATACAAATGTGGATGTACTTAAAATGGTTTCAAAACAAATAAATAGTAACAGAAAACAATGTGACAGTACAAAAAAATCGAATGTAGTAAAAAACTGTTTCCTTGAAAAAAGACTAATAAAACTGACAGACGACAGGCTAGATAGATCAAGAAAAATGATAAGCACAAATCAATAACATTAGGATTTAAAGTGAAAAGTAACAGGTTCGGATTAGAAAAATAACAAAAGAGAATACTATAAACAACATATCAATAAATTTGAAAATATTGGGAACTGGAACAAAATACAGAAAAGTTTCTAAAATAGAAAAATAGTAATTATGAATGTTTTATAATCATCAGAACATTATTTTTATTCTTTTTCAGTGTTCCAAGAGTCATTGTTTATGCACCACACCCAGTGCTCCATGCAATACGTGCCCTCCTTAATACCGACCACCAGACTCACCAAACCCCCTTCCCTCCTCCCCTCCAAAACCCTCAGTTTGTTTCTCAGAGTCCACAGTCTTTCATGGTTCATTTCCCCCACCAATCTCCCCAATTCACTTTTCCTTTCCTTCTCCTAATGTCCTCCATGTTATTCCTCATCAGAACATTTTGATCATCAGTTTTTAAAAGTTCCACCCAAAAACTACTCAGCCCAGATAGTTTTATAAGCATGTTTGATCATTCACAGAAAAGATAATTGGCATGTTACATATAATAAAGAGAATATTGTGCTCTACTTCAGAGAATGGAATAGAAGTGGAATAGGAGGAAAAACACTCCCCAGATCATTTTATAAGGATAATATATTCCTGACACCAAAATCAGACAGGGACACTATAAGAAAGAAAATCCATGGGCCAATGTTACTCATGAACATAGATGCAAAAATCCATAATATATACATATATAAAACACTGTATATTATATATTACATAACTATGTAATAATTATACATAAAGATATAAAAACTATGTATAAAAGAAACTATATTCTACCAGGTTGTAATGTTGGCTCAACAACAGAAAATCTATTACTGTAACTCACCAAGTCAACAGAATAAAAACAAACATGCTTTTATCTGAACAGTCTCAGAAAAAGTATTTGTCATTATCTTCATTAAGGACAGTTACCACATTAAAATCAGATGTAGGATGACAGTGGCTGAGTAGTAAACAGTTTATATTGTCCTCTTTGGTGGTGAAGGAAATATGATTTCAACTTTTTCAGATTTAAATGAGGTCTTCCTGAAATATTACATCAAGGACATGCGTCAACACAAAGTGATCTGTGACTCTGCCAAGTCGGAAATATTAGCTATAATCTAACTCTCACAAAAGTTGTCTTGGTTTTGAATCAATTAGTATTTTCAAGTACTATAAAGAAAGTAGGAGGCAATAATGACCACTGTTATGAACATTTACCTTGAGTTTGTGTTCTTTCCTGTTCACGATCACAGCTGTGATTTGCTGGTCCATGAAAATCAGAATGGTGACCAACAAAGCAGGGATAGCAGCTGCAAGGTACACCCACCAGGGGTTTCCTCCAAATGGTGGAACAAACCAACCTCGGTTTGGACTTGTTGGCTTGAAGAAGAGAGAGAACATTTTCGAAGTAATATTAAAACATACTATTTGGTGAAAAATCAATGGGAAAGATACAATTTTATTTCTGAAGAGACAACATATTCAAAAACAGAAGCAGTCTTACTTAGAGGTTAAACAAAGATTAGTCACCAAAAACTTCCTGAAGGTGGTCATTTTAAGGCAGTATTTTAAATGAAGGAGAGTAAGAATATAGGCTGAAGGGAAATAGGTAAATGCCATTTTGTGCATTTAGGATGATCTAAGATAAGGACTCAAGATGCAAGACTGATTTAAGTTAAGAGGCACCATAAGAAAAACTCAAATAGTAAAGACACAGGCAAAAAAATGACAAAATGACATTGAATTTTGGCCATGAATTTTGGCAATTATACTGAAGTCGTTTCTACTACTGTCAAATCGTAATTGTTTCACAGAATATAAGATAGATATTTGTATATGCTATAATTGAACTTGTTTAAATACTCCTGTCTTTCTTATACATATGGAAAAAGAGCCAGAATAACTGGTTAAATCCTCAGAAATATTACCAAAAATGAAAAATATAATTGTTTTTCCAGTTCTCCATCTATCCTCTGTCAGATCATACATCTGTACTACATGGAAAAAGATTTTTTTTTTCCTTTCCTTTTCCTAATGCTAAATAATGCAAATAAACCAAAACATTTACTATCTCCACATTTACTATCAAGAAAGTCACTTCTCTGAAGATATTTCTGTCTTCCATCCCCTTTTGCTCATAACTACATCACTGAATCTATACACATCTTACTACCTTTATCAGGTTGAGAACTGGGAAGGGAAGGAACTTTCTCTTGTTCATCAGTGCATTTCAAACCCCCTATAAAGAGCCTAGCTCAAAGCAAACATTCAATAAATATTAATTTAAGTGAACTAATCACTGAATGATTGAAAACTTATCTTTGCTAATGAGTATGAGAGGGCAGAGACAGTGCAACAAATAGTTTGTTATACCATAGATACCCCTTCCTCATTAAGTAGTTATTAAGCTAAAACTGCAGTTAGTTTAATTTTTCTTAGCAAGTGTATAGTCTCAATGATGGAGAGAGAGAGGTGAGTAGTGTTCTACAAAACAAGTGGAAGACATAATGAAAAATTACAAAGGGGCATGTAAGAATGACTGAAATGTGAATTTTACCCATTAGGCCTGCACATACCAACAGATCTATAAAATGAATAATTCCTGTATCTTCTTTGTAATAATTAAAATGCACTTTACACACAAATGTGTGTACATGGCAGGTAGTTTGGTAGCAGGAAAAGAGCACTGAATAAGTAATATAATCTTGGGCATTTCCCTTAATCTTTATAAGTTCCAGCATCAATTTCATCAAATCAAGATGATGATAGTTACATTACATCCTAGAATTACTATACGGATCAAGGTGATAAGTTGTATGGAAATACTTTAGCTTATCTTAAATACTCTAAAAATATAAAGCAGAGTTTGTATTTTTCAATAAAAATCAGTATAATGTGAACCTTGCACTTGATCCTAATCAGGCATTAGATTTTAGTGAAGAAATAGACAAAGTGTATACACATGCCTAGCAAAAGACCACTTCTGAAATAAATAGATAATCATACAAAACCAACTCAAAAACATACAACAAAATATAACAGGGAAAGAAAGCCATAGCATCCCAGGAATGACCCAAAGCAGAAGTTCACCTACCTTGAATTCGTTTGGCACAATTAGTTTCGGAGTATCCACACCTACCAGGGCATCTATTACACAAAAGATGAGAATGGACAGGATAATGGCAAAGTCACTGATCAGTTTTCTTGCCTGAAAAAAATAAAAAAGAAACCAGGGACCTTTTAGCACCAGGTCAATATATTTGCCTGTGTTGGAAATGAGCAAAGTATTCTGCATTGGCGAGCAGTTTACAGTAACGCATCACCAGCAAATTAAAGGAGGTGTCTCACTGCAGAGAGATTATTTTTCAAATTGATTTTGCATCAGTTTCTCATCCGACCAGACATAATCTACACAGGACAGATCAGAGTGAGTGTGTGTGTGTGTGTGTGTGTGTAGGCAGGGGAAGGGAATCACAGATAATACATTCCTGAAATACTGTACAAACACTCTTCCTGTATGCAGCACAAGGATACGTACGTAAGGATGAAATCTCACGGCACACTGTAAAAATCTACACAAAAATAAAGATTTCTGTTTATTATTTGGGAAATAGCACTGTGTGTACAGAGCAAGATAATTCCATGAAGTAATCTGAAAAGACAGCGAATCTAGCAGGAGAGGGGTTACAAGTTCTAGGTGACTGAGTGGACTCAAGACCTCAGAGATGATGGAAGAGAGAAATGTGATGACGTCACTACCTTTGTCAAAGAAAATATTTTTCACTGTAGGCTAGTGCTTAACGTCTCTTGTATGTGGGGCATCTCTTGTCCACCATCTCTTAAGTGTAGCTGCCACCAGTTGACAAACTTGAAGCTTCCAAAGTATCTGCCTCTGGTCAAGACAAGGGCCGGCGTTTATGGGCTGCAGCATTAAACCCAAACTTCTCTAATGCAGTGGGTGCAGGATGGTCATTTCAGAGTCAGCAGGGGAGCATGGGACTACTGGCAGCTCCACTGTGGGATCCAGTGGCCCTGACAATGGCCTCGGAGCCCCACTAGAGCAGAGATATCTGTGTCCCCGTAAGTACATGCACATGGCGGTGTGTAATCTGATCACTGCACAGAATTTACCCAATGCCTTATACTCTGATTGGTGCTAGGGCTACCCCAGTGAACAACACAGACACAGTCCATGTCCTCGTGAAGGTCGCATACCCAAGGCAGCCTGCTTCTAAGCAAATCAGGGTGGACTCAGCAGTGGTGAAGTTTCCTCAGAGTGAGCAGTCAGAGTCTGGTACCACTGGATGAAGAGATCAGGCAGGGGCTGAGTACCTACACAGTTCTGTGGGGGTAGACTACTGAAGTCAGATGTTCGGTAGAAACGGAACTGAGGAACGCAAGTACTTGGCAAGTGGATATGTTGAAGGCCATCATCATGCTCTCTTCTTGACTGCTGCCCAGTGCCAGGAGCCTTGGGTCCTAACCAGCAGCAAGATCAAAGAGGCCCTGTTGGCTAGGAGCTCCTTTCCCTTTTGAAGGGCTGGGTTCTGCTACGCTTAGCTCTCTTAAGGGTACACAGAAGAAGCAGAAAGCCAGCTATGGGCTATGTTAGGGGCAAATTAACATCGATTACACAATAATGTCAAGCACAAAAAGAGGGCAGGGATCAATCTGGGGAGAAAAATAGAGTGCAGCAGGTTTCCGGGTTGGAATATAGTTTCTGGGTTGGATCTCCAGCACATTTGTTTCCTATCTGTAAATATCTAACCTTTCTTAGCTTCAATGACTCCATCTGCAAAATGTAGCCAAAATAATCCCTACAACCTCACCAGTGCATTATAAAGAATTAAATAAGATAAGCCATGAAAGTGCTTAACATAACATCTGGAACATAATAAACTCTCCTAATATATGTTAACTGTTATTATTTCACATTCCATGAGACCTCTTTGGCTGCAGAAACAACTGGAATAACTAAATAATCTACCATCAGGAGGTCTTTAGAAGGGATCATCAATTCCAAGAAACAAGATATAAAAGCCCAGTAATAATATGGAACTGCCACTCAGCTAATTTTGGTTGGAAGTATTTGGAATCCCTGCAGAAAAAGGATGTTTCCCAGGGCTCAGTACTGGGGGGAAACTCCCATCTCTTAAGCTTTGTGCAAGTAAGTGTTGACACAGGCAGTTCAGAATGGTCTGGCAAAGATGGTCATATGAAACAGGTTCAAGAATATAATAAGATGTTACAACAATCTCTCCAGTCCAGTAGGTTATAAATCATGGGAAGACCAGAGGTCTTTTTGCAAAGGCAAAAAAGAAGTTCTCTCTCTCTTTTTTATCACCCTCCCAGTCCTTATCCAGTAAATCCAATTTGTTGACAATTTAGACATGCTAGAATTTGTTCAAAAGGGGGGAATAGTTATGAAAAAGACAGTGCTCCTCTTTCTCATAAACAGAAGGGAAGTTGAAGGTAGCAAATGAATCAATCTTCAATTCCCTGGTAGAAAGCCCCAGGGGGCCTTATACCTCTGGCCCTGCAAGGGAACAGACCTCTATGACTAGAATCACTACCAAACACCTGGGACATTAGATTAATTCTTACCCTTGCCTAAACTGAACACTGAAGTCCTAAACCTGTAGTTCTCTCCATCTTAATTAATGGCCATTAATTTTTTTCTAAGGCTAAGGCCAAAAACTTTGAACGACCCGCATAACTCTTCTCTCTGTCATATCCTACATCTCATAGGTCAGCAAATTACCTTTCAGGATGCTGTCACTTCTCACCACCTCCACTGCTCTCCTGTCCAAGGTACCATTTTATCGCCTGTGGTTTCCTGCTTCTTATCTTATCTTCCTGATTCTACACTTGCCCGCCTCCCTTCAGTACATTGTCAGGTAACCCAGAATAGTCATGTTAAAATTCAGGTCAGATTGTGTGGTAGGCAAAATAATGTCCCCTTAAGGATGTAAATAAATATCCTATTTCCTGGAACCTATGAATATGTAATGTTGTGTGATTAGGAGGAATTAGTACACATACAGAATTAAGGTTGCTAATCAGATGACCTTGAGATTGGGGAAATGACCCAAGATTATTGTGGTAGGTCCAATGTAATCACCAGCATTCTCATAAATGAAAAGGGGAAGCAGAAGAGTCGGTGTCACAGTGATGCACTGTGAGAAAGACTCAACTGGTCATTGCTGGCTTTGAAGATGGAGGAAGGGGCCATGAGCCAAGGAATGTGGCAGGCTCTACAAGCTGAAAAAGGCAAGGGAATATATTCTCTCCCAGAGCCTCCTGAAAAGACACAGCCCTGTCAACACCTGGACTTTAGAGCACTGAGGACCATTTTAGCTTCTGACCTCCAGATCTTAAGACAATAAACTTATGTTGTTTTAAGCCCTCATATTTGTAATAATTTGACATACCAGCCATAGGAAACTAAAATAAATAATCTATTTTAGTTATCAGTTTACCTAACTAATACACATGATATATATTTGTGGAAGAAATATAATATATATATATATGTGTGTGTGTGGATGAAATACCATGTATTTGGAAGAAATCCTCAGCAATGGTATTCTTGTCAAATGTGGCACTTATGTATATTTATAGTGTAAAACTAGCTTAAGAGACAAATATTAATAAGATTTAGGACAACACTTCTTTAAATTTATGGGGGGAAAAGCTACTTTGTTAGTAATATTGCTTAACCTCATTAAAAATCACAACCAGGGTGATATGTTCCATATAAAACACTCACTTCTATTTCCCCTTCCTTTTCCTTAAACTGTATAGTACAGTTCAGTTACAGCAGAAATCACTCCTGGAGAGTGTTTATGATCAGACATGCATTTCTAAGATACTAGATCCAGTTTAAACTTCATAGTAAGGAAATTGATTTTTCCCAGAATACTTCTGTATTCAACTCCAAATCCTGTAATTGGAGAAGGCAGGTAAGGGTGCTATTTTAGTAGACTGTTCAACTCTTACCCTATACTAAAATTAAACTTTAATTTGAACAAGGGAAAACTGACAGTAGAACTATAAAGTACCCTAAAAATGTCAAGTGCTCAGTAAATATAGCTTTTATTAGATACACTCTAGGACCTGTGAACAAGAGCTTTGACTTTAAGGAGATAAGAATCACTCTCTTGAGGTCCTTCTCACATTTCCAAACACATTTAGAAAAAAAAAAATACATGAATTTCCCTTCATGTATTCTGTTTATTTTACTTTCCATTTTTATCAAACTTGAGCTCTTTCAACAACTCCAAAACAACAACCTTTTATGTGCCAACATATAAATAAAGAAATCAAATTAGAAACCCATAGTTGCTAATTCCCTTCTAGCTCTTCTTGGTAATGATTAGAAGTGCCAAAGTTTTCATGAGAAATCTGCTTCCACAAGATTTTGTACTTAATCCTGTGGTTTCGGGAGATTTCAAATCTAGCTTGGACAGACTTGTGTCTGTCCAACTTGTGGATGTCCTTCCAGCCAAACACTAAGTCCCTCCAGATTCAAACTTCAATATCCTAGGAATATAAACTATGACAATCTGAGTGAAACACAAATTAAGACAACTCATATACAGCAAGGGCTCACTACAAAAAAAAAAAAAAAAAGGGTTTATTTTTTAATGGTATACAGATGTGCTAAAATGTAAGAAAATTCCTACCTCCATCCATGAATAAGGCAAAAAAAACGTGTGTTTCAACTAAGATCCTTTTATATCAACTGGTTTTGAGCACTTTTATTTTTATTTACCATTTTTTTAATTATAAGAATGACGAGGAAAAAAAAATTTCTGTTCTCTACAAAATTAATTATCAAGTATCTCAACTAATCTAATAAGAAACACTAAGAAACAAGCTTACATATTTAAACTATCAAAGCAAAAAAGAAATTACACGGATGGGAAGAGAAGTTCAAATAACCATACACTGTTTGTTTTCTTGTTCTGGGGCAAAACCAACCTAATAAACTACTATAAACAGACTCTTCATGAAGGATGGTACTTATTAATTATTAAGAGAGTCCTAATCATGGAGACACCAGCAGGGAGAAGCTAGTTCATTTACAGGAGAAAAAAATGAATTTGGTTTCTCTGAAGCCCAAAGGACATTTGGTTTTCACTTTGTGAGGGCAGCAGCTGCTCCTAAGTTAAGCAGGGAAAGGCTGTGGGCCTGCGGAGCAGCTCT